TGTTGTTGGTGGTGCTGATGTGTCCCCTTAGACAGGACGGATTGCGGTATTGATAGGACTCGGTCGGTACCACATGGTACTCGTGGTTCATTGTAATTTTTAACTGGTCTAAGAATTGCCCCAGGAATGCTCTGTTAATTTCTATTCCACTCATTTCGGGTATATATTTCTCTATAAAAATAAGTTATATTATACTATAAAAGAAATTCCTCTTTTTTTTTTTTTATAATTGTGTTACTTCCACTCTAGGCACGATTATTCTGTGACTATGGTATCTACGGTTAGTATATATTTTGAATAGCTTGTAAGCTATTATCAGTCCTAATATTATACTTAATATAATAATTATTTTTGTATGCATACCACTGGTTGATTTTAATATATTCCTATCCTTTTCTTCTTGGACGGCGGTCTCTAACTCCTCGATTGTTTTGGAGAAGTCACTAATGTCGTTCAACTTGACTACTGGATTTTGGTGGGTAAGTAAACTTTCAAGCTTAGCACTGGGTAGTAATGGAATCTTTACACTAACTGGTATGTTTACCGGAGGAATGAAGTCGATATACTGAATGGACTTCAGATGTCGGCTAGGTGTTAATACTACTTGTGGTGTGTGCGCCCTACATTGTTCACTTAATGTTATTATACCTACGCCCCTTAATTGTATATTCTTAGCGTTATCCCAATGATCACAGGTGACAGCTACATCGTCCAACGTGTTTATTATATAAATCCACTTATTATGATATTTCAACTTATGGTAGATGCTACGTGATAATTCTAAATACTTTATAGCACAAGTTCTTGGAATTATCGTCGGTTTCATAAATAACTCGATTTCACATGGTAACCCCGCGGACCCCATACGTAATGGTTGTTTTTCGGGACACATTGTTACACTCGCTAATTCCCTACAGTTCATTAAATGTGTTACGGAAATCGTTAAATAGTACTCGTGTGTTTTAGATATGGCCATGTATTCGAATTCGGGCGTGAGGTGCATATAGAGCTGATTTTTGCGTACCGGCAATGGTATTATGTGATACAATGTTAGTTCTACTGGATTTAGTAATGGAATCACTAACTCGAATACGAGAGTTCCATTCATATATACTATAGCCAGCTTTGAAATCTTACTTAATTCATAAAGTGATATGTAATTTACATCAAAAGGTAATTTTAATTGCCCGGGTAAACTTATTAGTATGTCCCGCAGCTGCATTCTTAATTCTCTAGTAGATATTATACCTGAATGTATTATACCGTTTTGTGCCGCCGATATTATCTCCCCTACCATATCTGTTTCGAATACTAATTGCTGTAGTAGCAGCAATAATGTTGTTATTAAATTTGTTATTGTTGTTCGTATTTCTAATACGTCTATTTGATACCAAACGCGTTTTAAGCTGATCTCGAGGTTACTACACGACATATTTAAATTTTGAATTTGGTTTTCCATTAACTGTGCTTCCTTAAATACACTATTTGTTAATTTTAATATACTAGTTTGTTTATCTACTATTTTTAACAGACCTACTCTACTATTTTGGAGCTCCCTTATTTGCGTATTGTACATCTCCCCGTCTTCGTCGTCCAACGTTCCGAATAACGTCTTCTGAATATGTCCTACTATATTAATTAATCCCCGTTTTTCACGGTGGTTTATCTCATCTATGTCTATGGACTGCAGCATATTGGACCTTTTTCTACTAATTTCTTGTAGTAGTGACGCGGAGGTTAATGCAAAATTACCACACGTGGTATTAAATATCTCGGGACTTTCTTTTTTTAGAGTTTCACATATTTTTTCTGTCTTATTATAAAAGTTAATTGTTTCTATATGTCTATTATTATAATTATCTAAATTAATATATATTAATAATTTCCAGTCCGAATTGGTTAATCTCAGTGGTCCTCGATTTTCGAAGTATATTCCACTCTCGTGCGGAATTGTTGAAACATTGTATGGCGAAATTTGCGTTCGAACGGCTTGGAAAACTCCTACTACTATTATAAACCTAAAATTATATGTAATTTCGAATAATTAAATCATAATATTATTCCTTAAATATTTTTACATGATTTTTATGTAAGGTAGCTATCCTTTTTTCTTTTTGGATTTTTACGTTATAATCTAATACTTTTATTACCGGATATGGTCCTACCCATATTGGTGTAAGTTTATGTTTCCTAGCTTGGTCAAGTATTAGTACCTTATCTCCTACATGAACGTCTTGTTCATTTTGTTTTTTATCATAATATTCTTTTGTTCTACGTTTTGTTTTTATAAGTAGTTCCCTTGCCAGACCGTGGGCGGCTTGCATTTTCTGTTTCATTTCATACGCGTAATTATCATATGTATAGCACGGTTCCGATCGCCTTTGTAAGGGTGACGGGAACTCGACTGGATTGCCATATAATAACTCGTATGGTTGGAAATTGGTACTTTCATGTACAGCTGAATTATATGCAAATGTCACGAATGGTATGTGCTCGCACCAATTTTGAGCGTGTTGGTCTATCGTATGCCTAAGCATTTCCTTAATTACTCTATGAGCTCTTTCAAGAGAACCGTTTGTCTCGGGTCTATACGCACTAGCCATTGTTTTATTAATTTTGAGTATTTTACATACTTCAGTAAATATTTCACTTACAAATTCTGGACCGTTATCTGTTAATATACTCATAGGTATGCCATGAATACACACGAAATTAGTAACAAATGCCTTAGCCATTGTATTAGCTTTGTGGTCTTCCAAAGGTATTGTTAATAGAAATTTGGTCAAGTCATCTTGGATAGTAAGTATATAAGAATTATTCCTATAAGACGTGGGTAGCTTACCTACGATGTCTAGAAATATCTTTTGAAAAGGCTTTGTTGACGTCGTAGTGATCGCCATTGGTAACTTAATTTTTTTAGAGCTTTTATTTTTTTGACATGATTCGCATTTTTCTATGTACCGTCGTACGTCTTTTCTCATTCCCTTCCACTGTATTTGCGTTCTTATTCTTTTTAATGTCTTAGACACTCCCAAATGACCACCTAAGAGTGAGTCGTGATATAATTTAATTACATCTATTTTGTCCTGGCTACTCATTACGGTTTCGGAATATATTAGTACGTTTACGTGCGTACCCTTGAATATGTACCTATACATAGCTCTCACTTGTGACCAATTTAATTTATCTTTGGTATAATTTACCTCATTTTTAAATACTGTTAGTTTATCTATTTTATTAGTTTCACATAGCTGTCTTAACTTTATTAGTGCTTTATATATATTTTCGTATGTAGGAACGTCGTTTTCCTTTTCTTTGGTTACCAAACAAATTAGTTTGTTATTTTCTATATATGCTATATCCCCAATAATGGTATTAATTTTAACTATGTCTACATCTCTAGTTATTGCTTGGGTTAGATCATTGGTTATTTTTTTATCCCTAGGTAAATCTATTACTACTATTGAGTCCCTAGGTGCATTTGCTATTTGTCCGTTTATTTCTTTTATTCGCGTATTTATAATTATTTTAGAATTAAATTCCTCACAAAATACGTCGTACGTTGTAGTAGCTTCGATTAGATTTATTTCTTTTATTCTACTTAATGCATCTGCATTTAAATTAGTTTTACCGCTTTTGTATTGAATTTCATAATCGAACTCGTCTAATTTTATTCGCCATCTAAGTAACCTACTGCCTGGGTCTTTGACACTAAATAACCATGTTAATGGCTTATGGTCAGTTATGATTGTAAATTTTCGTCCATAAACGTATGGTCGGAATTGTTTAACACCAAACATAATAGCTACTAGTTCTTTTTCGGTTGTTGAATAATTTATTTCGGCTTTATTGAGTGTACGTGACGCGTATGCGATAGGTAGATCGGCCGGTATAACACCTTGGCTTAGTACGCATCCTACCGCGTAATTACTGGCGTCACACGTAATAATAAATGGTTGTTCGAAATTCGGATATTGTAATAGCGGTGCGTTACATAGTATATTTTTTAATTTATCGAAAGCTTCTTGACAATCTATTGTCCATTTAAATTCTATTCCCTTTCGTAATAGGTTCGTTATTGGTTTCGCGATTTTTCCATAATCAGGTACAAAGTTTCTATAGTAACCTGTTAGTCCTAAAAACGATTTTATTTCTTTTACCGTCGTAGGTGTAGGGAATATTTTAACGCATTCAATTTTTCGTTCGTCGGGTTGTACCCCTTTCTCGGTTAATTTATGACCTAAATAAATTACTTCCTTTCTTAAAAATTCACATTTTATAGGTTGTAATTTTAAATTATGCGTACGTAATCGGGAAAATACCTCTCTAATTCGTTTTTCATGTTCACGTAAGTCAGCGGAAAAAATTATAATGTCGTCTAAATATACTAAACATTTTAAACCGATTAAATTACATAGAACGTTATTCATTAATCGTTGAAATGTGGGAGGACTATTTTTTAATCCCATTGGTAGTTTTGTATATTGCCAATGCCCTATGTCACTACTAAAGGCTGTTTTAACCCGTGACTCTTTATTTAACGAAATTTGATGAAAACCCTGTGCTAAATCTAAAATAGAAAAGTACTTAGACCTACCTAATCGATCTAACACATCTTGTATTTGTGGTAATGGCATTTTATCTCCTACCGTAATATTATTTAATTTTCGAAAATCTACTACTAAACGAAATTTTGGCTTTCCTGATACATCCATTTTTTTCGGAACTAAAAGTATAGGACTATTCCATGGACTACTGCTAGGTTCTATTATACCGTCGCTTTCCATTTGTTTTATTTGTTTCGTTATTTCGTCCCTTTGACTATGTGGTAACCTATACTGTCTCTGATATATGGGAGGTTCCCCCTCCGGAGTTCTGATTTCATGTTCTATGGACGTGGTGTGGGTTAACCTATCACCCTCTAAATGAAATATGTCCATAAAATCTATACACACTTGCTCAATATTTTCGCGTTCTTCCGAATTTAAGTGTTCGGTACGTTATTCCTTTTTTAACTGTTGTACCCTTTCGGAATAATTTGGCAAGGTTTCACTTTCGGTAGTGTTAATATACATTATCGATTGTTCCCTATATAATTCATAATTTAATTGACTTAATCGCACCGGTCGTATTATTTTTTCCTCATCAGATAAATTTATGACGTTTACTAGCACGTGCCCGTCCTTCACTATGTTTATAACGTTGCCTATGAATACTTGTTCCTGTAGCTCTCCCTTTTGAATAGTTATTACCTCATTATCCTTAACCGTCCCAGTGTCAACACCTACTGCCATTATGTATTCTACACGCGGAGGTATTCTTATATGATTTCCTAATGTTAACGTGTGTGCGCTACACCCGTATGGCATATTTATTGTAGTGTTTTGTAACTGGAAAAATGGTCTACCTAATATACCTGCTTTAATGAGTGGCATATCGTTTTTAACTATATAAAACTTTATATTTTCGAATATTTCTGTACCTATTTCTATTGGTATCTCTACTATACCTATGGTGGTTTCTAACATATTACTTATTCCCCTTAAAGAAATCGCTTCACCTGGTACCAACTTCGTATCCGCCGTTAATGCGGATAAACGAATTATATTTACGCTGCTACCTGTATCCACTAAAAATTCCAACGTTTCATTTATAAAATTTACTGACCTACTTTTAATGTGCTGATTTTCCATTGCGACCGTTATTTGTTTTATATCGTATATCTCCCTTAAATCCTTAACCACAGAGGGACTTTCTATTCCTGTGGCCGATAGCCGTTTCCCGAATTGGAGCTTTCTCCTTTTCTACGCCTATCTTCATTTTTCTTTTTATAACATTTATCTATAGTGTGCCCCTGTTTTGAGCAATACGTGCATATCAAATATGCGTTTGCTGTAGGTCTATTCGTACTAGGTTTATTACCCTCATTCCTAGGATTTCCCTTTTTAAACCTACAATCTCTAGCATAATGCCCGTATTTTCCGCATATATGACAATTACCTTTATTGTACTTTTGCGCTTCCCCTCTAGCCCTATTATTAAAATGATTATTGGACCTTACTTCGCTTGGGGTTATATTTTTATCTTCAATTATTGCAATTTGTATTGCCTGTTCTAATGTGGAGGGATTTTTACTTTTTACCATTACTTTTATTCTATCGGATATCCCCTCCAAAAATACTAACAAGGCCTGCTCTCTTATATTATTCTGAACAGCTAATGCGTCGCTTGCACTTTTACCTTGTGTGCTACCTTCTGATACGGCCTGCACTAAATTACGTAATCTATTAACGTATTCTATTAATGTTTCTTTATATCGCTGTTTCGCGCTAAACAATTCTATTTGCAGATACGCTGCATTTTTGGGTTTATCATATGTATTTTTTAATAACGTTTTCAACATATCCCAACTAGTAATATTTTCGTATTTTATTACCTCGTAAGCTAAACCCTTTATTCGATTTAAGATTGTCCTTAACATTATGTCCTGATTAGCCACCGGAGTTATATCTACTACTAACTCGCATGCATTTATAAAGAATACTAATTTTTCATCTATACCCCCACTAAATTCGGGTACCAATCGTATTACGTGCTCTACAGTTTTATCAATAGTAACTGTATGATTTACACTCGTATTATCGCTCGACGCGTTGCTATTAGTACCTGTCATGCTAACGGGTGATCCTAATACAACCTCAAAAATATGACTTTCAGAAAAGTCTATTTCAAAACTATCGTCTAACGTTACGTTTAAACTATTACGATGTCGATTCGGGCTTTGTGACATAAGATTATGCTTACCAACTATTGTACATTACTAAGTTGTTTGTATTTGACTTCGTTGCTCCCAAACGCCTTCCGATTGACTGCAGATGTTTCTGAATGATCCTTGAGAATTTGATCAGATTTCCCTTGAATGATTCGGGTCGGAATCTTCGTCGTGTTGATACGATGTATGTGAAGATCCCTGGTTTCGGCACCAAAATTTGTTCCTGTTGTGAACCGGATGAGAGACACTGTTGATAGGCTTCGAAGTCGAACAAATAACTCTTATTCGAATTGATTATAATATAAGTTTATTAAATATAAAACATAAATCAATTAAGAATAGTTTCAAATTATTGAAACAGTACAATTTAAGACATAAATAATCAGCATGGATACCGTCAACTAGTAGCCTGCTAACTATAGAGTGATGAGCCTTTCGTTAGGGTCCCTGTTATATAGGTGCGTTGGTATAAGGAAAAAGGTACCTACACGTACATCCTTGCTACGTGTAGCCTTGTTTTTTTATGTAACAAATATCATACTTTCCTTATACCTATTGCGTTGTCTTTTAGATAATAATTACTGCTGCCTATCACGTATCGGACGCATACCGAACTGCGTGTGGCCTGTAGTATTTGCAACAGCTGGTTATTATTAAATGGACGATTATTTTTCTGATTATCATTTTTCCCGCATACGTTTTCTTTTTCGGTGGCAATTCGCACTGCCTCTTCATAAGATGAAATATTGCGCGCTTCCAGAATAAGGCGTATTGAAGGATTAATACCTTCCATAAATACAACAAGTGCGGTGGTTAGCATGGTCTCAGCTATTGTTCGCGATTCGGTTACGGTTTGCCTATGGTTAAAGCGCTTGTAAGTTGATGATAAATTTGTTGTATGTGATTAGGGAAATTCTGTATACTTTCGTCATGGCGTTGTTTCATACTCGTTAATTGTTTCTGAAGATAGTTAATGGAATGAGAAGTTTGGTATATTGTTTTAAGGTGATTCTTTAATTGATCCCAAGTTTCAAATTCATTGTATTCAATGTATTCGTGAGCGTTCCCCTCTATGTTAGTTATTATAGCACGTAACAACTGCGGTTTAATAGTGTCGGTTACATTGGAAAAAAGGAATTCACATTTTGTTATAAAAATGGAAAGTTGACTATCAGTACCCCCCCAAGAAAGAAGGTGCCTGCCTAATGACGGTTTCGAGTCCCAAAGTTGTGGCGGCCATAGTTATACGTAAATTATTAGGATTATATGCGACTATTTGCCAATTATTGCGTGGACTGTCAGACATAAAAATATACTATACAATAATAGCTTACAAAGCTTGCATAGTTAAAAATGGTCTGGTCAGCAGTTGAAAATTGGATGCTCCGTGGAATGCTCTCTGGAATGCTCTGTGGAAATGCTCTGTGAAAATGCTCTGTGGAATGCTCTGTGACTGCAAAAATGGATGTACGAAGTGGCTCGACGATCTAGCTACGAAACTGCTGGCGCGTAGACCAATTAGTAAATAATTGGGTTTCGTAGTGTCCCAAGAACGGGTTGTCGAAGTTCGTCAGTGAGTTCCCGAGTTACTTTTTTGATGAATCAAAATTTTTCACTCAGAGAAACCCCACACCTGACACCAAAAGTTACGTATGTAGTACTCTCGTACTACACTTGTACACTTAATTATTTAATGACGTGCTTCGACGTTTCGTTGTTGAGCTTGAGTGACGATGAGGTTGCACTTAGAAATGAATAAGTATAATATATTCACGGTATTAATGTTTATTATGTTTTAACAAAATTACAGACTATAACAGTTTACAATTGTAGAAATTTGTGGGCAGAGGTTACGCTCGGTACCCGAGAACTATGTGCAGTTAAGCTAAAGTAAAATAATTCTAACTTAGTGACTACTTAGTTGCTATATTTACATTAATGTATGCCCGATCTCTAAGGAGCCACGGGATTGGCTTACATGCTTAGAAGTGTTTTACGTAATCAATAACAAAAAAAAAATAAAATAATCAGTTTCCATAAATATGAAATTCTCAATAACAGTCAAAAAGTACAAGGTACAAGGATTTACTCTGCGTCATGGAAACGTTACCTATTTATACATAATTAAAGTAAACCGTGCGTTTACGTAATACGGTTTACTACACCGGTTGTATACCGAATACTAATTCATACGGTGTTAACTTATGTGCGGTGTTGTAACGTGTCCGGCAAGCACTTATAAAAATTGAGGTATGGAAGGAAATAAAGTATACTAGCATAAATAACACCAAATATAATATATTTCAAAGTATTTTACAATACATTTCAACAATCAAAAAGACTCAAGTACAACGTTGTTCGTGTCCCAAGGCAGACTCCCCGAATCTCTGCTGCCCTTAGCTATTTATGTTACTACTTTTCACTTTGTTATGATCACGCCACTCATAGATCAGCATTATCCTCGACTGCGCGTGCATAACCCTTTTGCCCTATTAACTAAAAATATACGTATTCTAATATTGTTTATGACAACGTCAGCGTTCATACATTGTATTTTACATTAAGCCGCTGCGTGTTACAATAATAGTGTTTTAACTATTAATACTGTTTAAAAACAGTAAATCATATAATATTAACTAATGAGGATCATTACAGCGGTATGTGGTGTTGTGTTATACATATACTCGCATAACTTAACATTTCACACCAATTTTCTTGTTTTTCGTCACTAAAGTTCCTCAAATATTCCTTTAATGTTTTATGGCTACGTTCAAGAGCAACATTGGTCATTGGCGAATAAGCTGTGGTTTGCATTTTATTAATTTTTAATAATTTGCACATCTGTTTAAATAACGATGATAAAAAATTTGAACCTTGATCACTTAATATATTTGTAGGATTTCCGAAATAACAAACGAATTTTTCTACAAATGTCTTAGCTATGGTCGCTGCGTCCGTGGTTTTTAATGGATATGCAGCCGAAAATTTAGTTAAATCATCTTGAAGGGTTAAGATGTACATGTAATCATTTCTTGATTTCGTCAGAGGTCCTACTATATCTAAAGCTACTCTTTCAAAAGCTGTCGATGAAGTGGTATAAATTACTAGTGGTTGTTTGCTTTTTCGTTTTTCCTTATTAATTTGGCATGGTTTACAATTGCTGATATAGTTCCTAACCTCTTTTTTCATGTCCTTAAAATGTACCCATTGACGTAACCGTTTTACAGTAATAGACCCCTCTTGGTGTCCTCCTATGCAAGTTAAATGCTGTTCTGTGATTAATACTTTTTTTTACTTTGTCCGAAATTTTATTCTTCCGTAAATGCATATAAATATTTAATATTGTTATCGCGAACAACTACGGCCTCCTTCACCTTTTTATTTCTAAGCACTTGATTTCCTATGTGTCCTAATTGTGTTATATATTCACGTAGTACATTACATTTTTAATTGTACATCTGCAGTTAATGTTAAAATAATATCATAATAGCACGGCATATCATTATATGTTTCATTAATTTCTTCAATATTATTATTTAAATATGCATTGTTGCTGTTCATAAATTCATCGAACGACATTGTATCCAAATTTTTGATTACGTAAATACGTAATAACGCATCTGCATTACTGTGTTCCGTGCCCGGTTTATATACTATCTCATAATCGAATTCTCGTAATAATATACGCCACCGTGTTAATCTCGAGTTCATATCTGATACGTTAAAAAGCCAAACTAGTGGCCTGTGATCAGTAACTATTTTAAATCGTTTTCCCCATAAGTATGGCCTAAAATGTTTAATAGCAAAAAGAATACATAAACATTCCTTCTCGATTGTAAAATAGTTTATTTCACTTGAATTCAGAACTCTTAACGCATAAGCGATTGGCTTATCATTACCCATTTTCCCCTGAGATAGAATCCAACCTACAGCATAATTCGAAGCATCGGAAGCTAACAAAAAATCTTTGTCAAAATCCGGGTACTGCAATATAGGTTCCGCTAGTGCTGTTTTTAACCCGAAAGGCATTTTCAGCCTGTAGAGGTCGAACATGCTGTTTTATGCGTGTCCCCAAGATGTATCGCAATTTGGTGATAACCATTCGCAAAACATACCGTAGAAAAGTACTTCGAATATCCTAATTTGGCTAAAATATCAGTAATTAAAGGAAGTGGCCACGAATTGCCCTCCATAATTAAATTTAACTTCCTAAAATCTACACATAATCAATATTTCTTTTCACCGTCAATCTCTACTTTCTTTGGAACTAAAATCAATGGATGATTCCACGGTAAATTGTTTTTTACTATAACTTGTTGTTGTTCTAAATCTGCGACTTGTCTATTTATCTCTTTTTTTTGTTCTTCGGCTAATCTATATTGACGAGAATTAATAGGTGGGTCATTGTGTGGTGTTTTAATTCTGTTTGTAACGAGGTCAGTACCAATAATTGTATCTCCTACAAAAAATACGTCCGAAAATACGTATCATAAATCTGATAATGATTTAAGTTCTTCATTGTTAAGATGATCAGTTACTAACCGTTCTGTAATTATTTTAAATCCGTCCGTAAAATTAATCGATTCTGACCTGGTATGACTATCTCTTTCAAAGTACATTATTGCTTTATCATTCCTATTTTCGTCTATTAATGCGGACTCAATAAAATCCGTATCTGTAAATAAATCTCAATTAATTAATTTCGTTTTTAATTCCTGTAAATTAACATAATTTTCTGAAATATTCATCACAATAGCCATGATCGAGTTACTTGTACATAAAGATATCGGAAACTTATCATTGACTACGTGAAAAATCGTATCGTAATAATTATTTTTATCAATAGTTAAATTGATTTTGATAATGCCTAAAGTTTTCATAGAATTCTCGTTAATACCTATTAATGTGGTTGGTGTGGTTTCTACCGGTACGTTATGTTTTATTGTTAATAAATTAATAATGTACAGATCTGCGCCCGTATCAATTTAAAAAGTATTTTCTATGCCCATTAACGCATCTGATTCGATTTGAATTTGATTACTGTTCAACGAAATTACTTCCTTATTTTCTCCATATTTTAACATAAGTATTGACCTATTCTTAATATCGCCTATCGTTTTTATTCCCTTTGTGGTCGATGAACCTTCGCTACTTTTTGTTTTTGTTGGTTATTATATTTAAGTTTACGACATACATAACTATATGCCCTGGTTTTTTACAATAATTACATATTATTGACGAAAATGAAGTACTACTACTACCGTATTCTTTTTTTTACTAACGATTCATTCTTAGGACTATAGTTAGTATTGCTCCTAGTTTTTTACAATCTCTGCTTAAATTACCGTAACCTTCACAATTGTAACACTTAGGTTTTGAAAAAGTAGTTGTATTAGTTTTGCCGAATTTTCGTTTTAAATTGTCTAACGCTTGTTCCTCTTCTAACGCTGCTTTAATCATTTCTTCAAGACTACTTAATTTCATTGCCCTTAACACCGTTCTAATTTGGAAATATAGCCCGTCTACAAAAATATTTTGTTTCTGTGATGTCAATAATTTAGTAATAGTTCTGCTTTCTGTAATAGTCTTATCCTTAGTAATTTCATTAACGAACCTATAAAGAGCCATGTTGCGATCCAGATGTGGAGTTCGGTTGACAAGGTCGAATCAAATGAAGTAACACGTAGTCAAATTAATTATTATTATACATTTATTGACCAAAGGTTAGTGGTTAATACTTTTTAAGCACTCAGAGTAAAGTTACAATTTAAAACAAATATCTCTAGCATGAATACTGTCAACTAGTCGTCACGCAGAAATAGTGTAGCTGGTCTCCCTGATGGGGAGCCTTTATATAGTAGACAGTAGTCGGATTACATGGTCCTTTACAAGATCCCACTCAAGTATTCGCTATGGCTCTCTTAGTACTTTATATACTAACTGTTCCTTGTGGCACTCGTTAATAGTAATTAATATACTGTGTCACATACACCATGCGTAATACTGTAGTAATAATATTATATACTTGTGTGGTCCTAACCTTGGATATTGCAACACCTCCCCCACAAAACGAGGGCTGATGTTTAAGAAGACCTCTAACTGTTGTCCTTCGACTAATAAGTAGTATATATTTGTATGTTCTGCGTCCATTTTTACAGGGGAAAAAAAAAAGTTCAAGCGGGAAAGTCTCCCTTACAGTACTTTTGACCACCGCGTAGCCAAAATCTCAAAAACCCTAATGTATGTTCTGCGTCCATTTTTACAGGGGAAAAAAAAAAGTTCAAGCGGGAAAGTCTCCCTTACAGTACTTTTGACCACCGCGTAGCCAAAATCTCAAAAACCCTAATGTATGTTCTGCGTCCATTTTTACAGGGGAAAAAAAAAAGTTCAAGGGGGAAAGTCTCCCTTACAGTACTTTTGACCACCGCGTAGCCAAAATCTCAAAAACCCTAATGTATGTTCTGCGTCCATTTTTACAGGGGAAAAAAAAAATATACTAGTGGTTACACTGAACTTTTTTATTCAGTTCTACTAAAATTAATTATTTAAAAAAAATAACACAAAGTTGGTTACACTATATTTTATAAAATGTTTTCATTTTAATAGTCGATTATTTTTTTTATTATTATGTTCAGTTACTAGTGATTAGCTGTTTGACGAAGTTGTATTTCATTCTCTTCAATTTTCTCATAATTTCATTAAATTGTTTTCAAGTTATTATAAATTTTTTCAAAAATGAATTTTCAAAAATGTACAAACGATGTCCAGTCATTGGTCAACCAAATACGATTCAATTCAACACCAGCATACCCAGAATTCTCCACGTTTTCCTCGAGATTAAAAACGTTCAAAACATTTCCATCAAATAGTACACAGAACAAATATAAATTGGCCGAGTCTGGGTTTAAGTATATAAGTGTCGATGACGCAGTTGAATGTCATTGGTGTTCAATAATTTTGCATGCCTTTGAATTCGGAGACGACATATTTCTTGAACATACACGGTTCTCACCAAAATGTATATTTGTATTATTAACGAAGGGAAATCAGTATGTGCAAAAAGTGTTAAGTAAATATTGTAAAATCGAAGTTATTTGTAATTGTGTAGCCGATTCATACGATACCATTTGTTAAATCATGTTTTTATGTACTGTTTTATAATATATGATGTAATAAATAATAATAAATATTGAATTTTAAAAAATCAACTTATATATGCTAGTTTTGAATTTAATATCTCGTGGACGTATGGTTTAGTGGTTTAGTGCGTATAATTTAAATGTTTTTCAGGTTAGTAAGTATAATGTGTAATTCTCCCCTCCTAGTATGCACTAATCCACTAAGCTGTACGTTCACATTTTTTTGCATTTTTTTTTATCTAAGAGTGTAGTATATAATATGTTTACAAAGGAAAAACTCTCAGTTCAATGTATGACTCCATCAGTTATATCTAACTTTATATTTGTGTTAGACGTGAAAAAATCAAAATAAATATTTTAACTATTAAAATAAAGTTATCAAAGTAATTCCACTATGAGTTCACCGATAATTGTCTGCAGGTCTACTTTTGACATCCGTGCTTACAACAAGAAAAGTATTACAGTTGGATTATTAATTAATAAGCAGATTTCAATTATTATAATTCTAGAATGTAAAATAACTAAAAAGAGTTTAAACCTTGATCTAGACCAATGGCTTTCATTAATGTGTGAAAATAATTATACATCAATTATTAATAATCTACAAAAACGATGTAAACGAGTAAGAATAACTGATAACTTAAGTTATTCTGTTAATGTGAAACAGTCTTCAATTATATTGCATTCTAATCAAAATGATATAACATTCGCTCTTGTAGACCTGCAAAGGTTGAAACAAATTCAACAGTATATTGAATTATATATTATTGAAAAACAGAAAAAATTGCAATCTTATCAGAAGACCTATGACACAGCATATTCATTAATTTCAGCAGATGTTAACGGGTTACCCTCTTCTTGTCGACGGAATGAATTTACAAATCAATATATTCAGAATTATGACTTAAGTTATAGTAATATGGAGTCTAACGATATTTCTTTTATGCATGAATTATTACAGTTTCATTATAACTCACTATCAGACATGATATTACAAGACTTAGCAGTCTAATTTTTTTTAATTATTTGTTAACCCATAATTTATATTATTTTTTACGTTTCATGATACTAAATAATGCATGTACACAACTTTTTAAAATAAATGTATGATTAATTTTTTTTTTCACATAAATAAATAAAATGCCATGTATAAGTATATAATTGATTTACAATATAATAATAACAGATAATTAATTCATATATAATGTGAGTGATGTATACATATGTTTCATAACACAAGTATATTAAAACTAAACATTTTTTATTTTGCATAGTACCTATTATATATTCATATTTTTTCTACAGTCATTAATAAATATATTAATTAATTCTTTGATAATTTAGATCTTATTATCTTCCTCTTAGGATCAGACATAAAGCGTGTAAATATTGTTTGTACGACCTCTGATAAATTATTCTTAAGCTCTTGATCTTTTTCTTCATCGGTTATCGTTACTTTAAGACTACATTCAGCTTCTTTCCATCTATAAAAAATTACATAAAAAATTTTAATATTATAAAAAAAATAAATAAATGTATTACAATTATTTTATATTAGGGAGATCAGGGTAAAGCGGATGGTGGACAAAGTGAATAATGTTAATAACTTTTTGAATATTGATGATTAAATAATAATAATAATAATGTACATATAAGTTGTCAGCAATGTGTATCATTTTTGGAGGGATAATGATTTATATCATTCACTAGTTTACATTTGCCATAAAATCGTTTATCCGAAAATAGTTAAGTTTCATATAGCACTAAACCCAAGTTCTTAAATCACATATATTTAATAAAAAAAAATCATGTTTATTTAAGAAAAAATCAATCTGGAAAAAGTGGAAATATTTTATTTTTATTTGATGAAGAAAATTTGAAAATAATAAAATATATTAATATAAACGGAATATA